GCAACTCCTGCTGCGTTCCAGCACCTTCCAGGCACACAGGCCTCAGGCCTGGCATCAGATGTGCTTCTCAATAACAGAGTTAAAATACAGGGCAGAAGTATTATTAAAGTAGCATTGTAAGTGAATTTTCCATTGTACTTTACAGTTTCATTTTACCTGAGTTATTTCTGTTTGAGTTTCGTGGATATGTAGTGACTTGCCCAAAGTCACATAGTAAGCAGCAGTGATGGGATCTGACTTGGTCCTTTGGCTCCAAACCTCATGTCATGAGTTGACCTGTGACTGTCACTTGCTTTCTGAGGTGGGAACAAGAGGCCTGCATCTAGTGAACCAGTGTCTTGGGTATTTCTCTGCCCAATTTGCTCTGGCTGCCCTTGAGGCTGAGGTGTTAGCCACAATGCAGTGGTTGGGAAGGGCACTTTTCATTTCTGTTGTTAGAAATGACCTATTGCTGGGATCAACATGTGTCTGAGGGCTTCTTCTCTGAAAATGATTGGTTGGGCCCTCCTATGGAATTTGCAGATAGTGGGGACATACTCTCCTCCTTTCATAGGTTTATTGACTAAGAGACACTAAGGAAGAAACACACCACACCCCCTACCCTGACACAGCTTATGTCACCGAGCTGGACTAAGTCAACGGATGGCTCACTGGGTGGGAAAGAATAGAGCAGCGTTGGCTGGGGGTGATGGCCGAGGGACTGCATTTCTCAGTATTTGGGCAGGAGCAGGCCTGGCCTGCCCAAAAGCTAACAAGCAGACAGTACATGCTGTGAGGGCAAGGACAGTGCTTGCTGATACTGCTGCATTGCTAGGCCAACTAAGACTCTGGGACCCACTAAGTATTTAATAAATGTTTGTTGGCTGGACTTCTGATCACTGAACATGTTGTGTCTGAGCCTTAGCTAAGTATGGGCCAATTGCTTTCAACAGGCCAAGACAAGGCAGGCTGGGAGGCTCTGGATGCAGAGCTGGGCATGTTGACTGGGTCAGAGAGGTGTGAGGAGGTGACCCATCCTCACAAAGTCAGGCTCATCCTGGCAATCACAAGACCATAGGGTCAGGGCTCACACACAACATAGGACAGCTTGAGGGTCTAAAACAAGCTAGGGTACCTTACAGGTTGGGTGGCACTCAGAAACCAGGTGTGCAGGAGGTATCATTCAATACTCTAGGCAGGTAGCAGGGATCCAGAAAAATCTGTCTTGAGGAAGAGGGCTCCAGAAACAAGGCTGGGCCTAAAAGTAGGAGACCAAGGCAAGGCACATACCCAATGATATGGGACCTGGCCAGGTACCACTCCAAAGAACAGGGGCAAGCTGAGATATCTAGCTTAATTTTATCCTGTTACTGAGGTCTGGAGCCAGGCTGGGTCTGGAGATGGAGTGCCAGGTGTGGTACCCAGAGGAGAGGAAGGCTGCCAAGACAGGAAACCAGGTAGGGCCTGAGGAAGGGGAAACAGCCTTCACAGAGTGGCTTTATGAAAGAAAAGAAAATGTCAGCATCTCCCCAGGGCACAGACAGAGGGACAGGAGGCTGGTGGTCCTAGAGTCACTCCTAGACATGTTCCACAGGAATAAAACTGGTCAGCTATCACCCTGGGATCTCCCACCTGTGCCACAGGCAAAAGAAAGCAGATTTCTACCCTTGGAACTCATGGTCTAGTAGGGAAGAGAGACCATGCCTGCAATGGACCTCAGAGCAGGAACAGAGTGATCCAGGTACAAACAAGCCCAAATAAGACCACAAAAGAGGCCACACAGCTGCAAGTCTGGGGAAGGGGCAAACAAAAGGGAGATGTTCCCCAGAAAGGAATAAGAGCAACAGGGAAAAAGTCACCAGTGGCTTTTGTTCAGTCCTCGCCCGCACTCCCCAAAAGGTAGATATCTCCATACTGCTTTCCACAGTGGCTGAAAAACATTCCAGCACCTGTGAGGTGATGTCTCATTGTGGTTTTATTTGCATTTCTCTGATAATTAGTGACGCTGAGCATCTTTTCATATGTCTATTGGCCATCTTTATGTCCTCTATTAAGGTCTTTTGCCCATTTTTTAATAGGGTTGTTTGTGTTTTTGGTGTTGAGTTTTGTAAATTCTTTATAAATTTTGGATATTAACCCCTTATCAGATGTATCAATGAATATGTTCTCCCATTCTGTGGGGTGTCTGTTTATTTTGTTGATGGTTTCCTTAGCTGTGCAAAAACTTTTTAGTTTGATGTAGTCCCATTTGTTTATTTTTCCTTTTGTTTCCATTGCCTGGGGAGATATTTCTGATAAAATATTGCCTCAAAAAATTAAAAATGGATCTGCCTTTTGACTCAGTGATCCCACTTCTAGGAATATATCTGAAGGAACCCAAAATACTAATTCGATAGAACACAAGCACCCCTATGTTCATTGTAGTGTTATTTACAATTTCCAAGATATGGAAGCAGCCTGAGTGTCCATCAGTAGATGAGTGGATAAAACAACTATGGAACATTTACATAATGGAATACTGCTCAGCTATAATAAAGAAGAAAATTTTACCCTTTGTGACAGTATAGATGGATGTGGAGAACATTATGTTAAGCAAAATAAGCCCATCAGAGAAAGACAAATGCCATATGATTTCACTCATATGTGGAAACTAATGAATGAACTGAACTAACAAGCAAAATAGAGACAGACTTATAGATGGAGAGCAGGGTGACAGCTAAGTGGGGGGAGGCTGGGGGAGGAGGGATTGAGCCAAAAGGGGAAGGACTCATGCACGTGGACAACAGTGTGGTGACTGTGGGGGCGGGGGGCGGGGGGCGGGGGAGACATAAGGGGACTAAATGGCAATGGAAAAAAATACAAGAAAGACAGATTTGGGGCACAAACAGATTTTATAAGTAAAGTCATTTTTATAGCATCTCTATTACCATGCCGAATCTCATCTTATACACTAACTTCTATTCGTAAGATGCTCAAAGTAGATATTGCTTATTTCCCACTGAATCAGAGAGAAATTATAATTCCCACTGGAGTGTTCCCAGGGGCAGGAGGGAGGGGCTGCTGGGATTGTTCCTCAAGCCTCCCAGGCTTCACTCCTACAGCCCAGGAACAGAGAGGGGGCATGGGGTGGCAGGGGCCGAAGACCCAGGGCCAGGGCAGGCTGTGAGATGACCCTCTTCTCCTCTGAAGCCTGGAGAGGCCCTAAGGACTGCTGGGCCTTTTCTCAGCCAGCAGGAGTGTCAGGGATGCTTGCAGGTCCCAAACACCCAAGCCCCTGAGAGGTCTTCATCCAGGCTGGCTCTTGGCAATGTAGGAGTTTGCCTCTCTGACCATGGATGGAATTCTCCACGAAGCTGGAGGGCCTTGCTGTTCAAGACTAGGCTGAATCCAGGGCTCCCTGACTCCCAGCACAGTGAAAACCCACCGATGGGTCTCCCTAGAATGCCCGCTGGGGACCCCACCCCAGGTCTTCTTGAAACCCCTTCCCTCTTCTAGCACAGTCACTGTTGTCCCCTCTGAAGCTTCTTGTTTTTTCTTGTTTAACACGTGTGAACAAAAAGCACCACATGATTTTCACTTTATTTTTCTCTAGGTCCAATGAGAGGCCTCCTGGCCAGAGGTTTAAAGGAAGAAGCATGGTCAGCAGAGGACATGCTGAGCTGGACTCGGGCTCATCACTGCCCAGCTCTGCCTCAGCTCCCCTCCTCCTCCCGGGACTCAGCACCTCAGCTCCTCAGCTACAATGTGGGTGGGGAGCACCTCATGCCTAACTCCCAGGGCTTTGGGGAAGCCAACAAGTACGTAGATGCCAGAGAGTGATGAAAGGGAGGGGCCACTGCTACTAAAGTCAGTTATCATTTTTAAGGTCACTATCATCCGCAGGAGACCCACCCCCTGGCAAGCCAGGGCCTCCTCTGCATCCTTTCATCCTGGGCTCTGTCAGCCAGACCACTTCCTCTAAATGGCCCTTTTGCTTTCCCAGACCCTGGACTGTCTCTTGCAGGGGAGAGGGTGACACAGGTGAGGCTGCCTGTCTCCAAAGCTAAAGAATAACCAAATCCAACAAATCACAACACCTCACCAGTTCTGGCAAAGGACATTGTATTTCTAGCTAGGGAGATTCTGTAACCGCACTTGGACTAAGGCTAGAAGTTTCCTGGAGAGGTCTGTAGTGGAAACAGGGGCTGCAAGAAGCCCAGCCTGCTTCTCTCAGGGCCTCTGAGTACCACTGTGCAGTGTGTACACTGCACAAAAGCACCAGGCTCAGGGGCAAGTGAAATCCACTCGCCTGCCAAGCACAGCATCCACAGAGCTATGTGCTCCTAGAGAGGCCCCTTTTCAAATTTAGGCCTGTCTCCCTTTCTGAGTGACAGTGGTTCCTGAGAGAATATTTTAGAGCCAGTGGAGGGCAGGAATAAAGGTGCAGGCAAGTGAAAATGTGGTTCTGGGCCAGGGGTTGGATACCTAGCTAAGACCCAACACCCTTTTGGGCTGCAGAAAAAGCTTTAGGTGAAACTGCACAGGCCTGGTGGGCAGATGGGAAGGGAAGAGAGAGGGTCAAAGATAGTACTGGCCTCAGAGTATAAGGGCCGGGTGGAGTTTCAAGTCACCTACATAAGTCATTTCCGAAGGTGTTTGATTTTAGTCTTGGTTCCTTTTCATTTCTTTATTTTTATTTTCCATGGTAGAATTATTTTTCCAAAGAAAATAAAAACAGAAATGAAAAATTATTTTTTTTAATGTGGGGAGGGGAGACCCAGAGCTCTGCTCACCCTGTCCCTGGCACCTCCCACAAGCCCGAGGGGCCCCCAGGACACAGTGTGGAAAACACTCACATGGTCCAGCTCCCTTGTTGCAATGGCAATAAGGCTGACACCAAAGAATGTGGCGTGAGTTGCCCAAGGTCCACACTGTGTTGAAGGCACCACTGGACTAGACCCCTATGGCCCAGTTGTCTGGCCCCTTCCTCCCCCACTCCAGAGAGGCAGGCCCGCATGCTACCTGGCAACTGAATATTCAAGGCAGCTAGGCCTGGGTCCCTGTCCACAGGTGAGGATCCCATCCTTTTCCTCTGTAGCCAATCCCAGTCACAGAAGTCTTTCATCTGGTTCCGCCCTCTCCATGATAGGAATAGAGTCTAAAATCTTAGAGGTGGCAGGGATGAAGAACTTGAGAGGACTATAGATTTACCAATGACACTGAGGAAGGGAACTGTGATGAGAAACTGGGTGTCACCTCAAGGACCAAATGGCTTTTGCCTGAGCTCACTGGGAAGTCTGTTCAAGATGGGTGGGCTCCTGCTGATGAGCAAGGTGACAGGCCAGGCCAGACCTTGGCCCAGAGGTGAGGGGCAGTGACGAGATCATTCACACCTTGTGTGGTGCTGCAAACTCTCAGCATCCTACACAAGAAATGTCCCTTCACTGGCCTATTAGCCTTTCCCTCAGTCCCTGTGCCAGTCTCTGCCCAGTGATTCAGGACCACAAGCTCAGCCACCATCTCCTGCTTTCTCCTGGCCCTCCCAGCAGCATGCACATCATGGATTACTCCCAACCTTGGCTGCCCTTTAGGCTACATGTGGCCTCCGCTTCTAGAGCACTCTTGGTTAGCTCATGCCCTCCCACCCCTGCTCTAGAACACTCTTCCTATCCCCTGAGAGTCTATAGGGAGGTGCCTTTCAGCCAGTCTTGACTTCACAGCTACACCTACCGAGGACCTTACCTTTATGGAGCAGGGAGCAACCAAGGTGCTGCTCCTTTGACTTCTGTTCCTTATGGCCTTTGACATCCTAGCCCAGCCCTCCCAATCCTAGGGCACCAGGAACACAGCCATCCCATTGGTTCACTGTCATGTGCATTTATTGAGCGCCCACAGAGTACGTGGTACTATGCTCAGGTTCGGAGCCATGGTCTAGTCAAAAGGAGACCAGAGCTAGTACAGAGAACGTTTCATAGCTGCTTACACCTGGTAAGGGATGGGGGAGGGGAGAGCTAATCACAAAACAAAGTCCTATTCGAAAGCCACAAGATCTCCTCTGAGAGTAATATATATTCTATGCACATGTGCGCACACACGCCCTGAATGAACACATGGGTGAACCCAGTGGTTGTAAGTGCGTGCATATACAGTGTTGTGGGTAAATAAACAACTGTATATGCGGTATGCACACACACACCCACACACCACTTAACAGACAGAATCTGGCTTATGCTATCAAAGATACTAGCCTCCAGGTTCTAGTGAAGCGATCTGCCCTAGATGCCTGCAGCATGCAAAACTTGGAAGATCCGGAGATTCACAGTACAGGAGGACAATGGGGATACATGGGTACGTTCTGTCCCCAGGCCCAGCCACGAGGTCACTCTTGATCAGCGACAGCAAAGCCTTTGTGAAGGGCTCACAGAGCAGAGCTGAGGAGCCAGAGGCCACCTGTCCAGTGTCAGAGCCCATGGGAGCCCTGGTGAGTTCCCCAATCTTCAAGGCAGAGTTTAAACCTCTGATATTCAGTGTGTAGTCCTGCAAACAGTATTCCTTGTCACAGTGCCGCAGATCAAGGTGGGAATGTTTTCTTGCTCACTCTCTGCAGCATCCCACGTGTGCTAACGCATTTTGTAGTCATTAGATACAGATGTTTCACACAGCTGTCCCTTGAAGTCCAAGTCTACTGTGAAATCGAGATCTCGCTGCAAAGTAGGAGCCAAGAGTCACAATATTAGTGTGGTCAGAAGTGACGATACCACTCCCCTCCCTGCAGGTGGATGGGTGGGTAACTACTGTGCTCCTTGGGTTTGCTACCTGAGGAGTTCCCACTGTCAGCCCTCAGGAATCTATCCTGGCGCCTCATTATCTTCACAGGAAGTTATTTGGTTCCTAACCTAAATCCTTCCTGTCATAAAATAAACTGTTCCCTCTGATTTCTTCCTGGAAGAATACTGAGTGGGGTGGGTGAATCTTCTGTGGCATAACCCTCGAGGCATTCTGTAGACTCATAGTGCACTTGACTGCACCCAAGGTGGCTCAGAAAGAATCTCACTGTCTGCAACCCACTAGGCCAGCTGAAGACATGCCAGCCAGACTTCTCTTGGGCCACCAGAAACTCCTATTTCCTGGCTCAGCTCATCCTTAATGGGGTGAAACCCATGGCAATAGCCTTTGTTCTCAACCTCTATGAAGAGCTAGAATCAGCTCAAGCCTGAGAGAGTTGGGGTAGGGAGGGAAGTAGAGGCTAGAAAGTCTCTAATTCCAGAGCTTTAAGGAGCCAACACTGGAGCCCTTTAGTCATGCCCAGCTATGACCAAGCCCAGCGTCTGACTGCCTCCTTTGGCAACTTCCCTGATGGTGCACAAGGCACATAGGCACCTGGGTGAGTGGCTCCTGGGACCAGCACTGAGGTCCCTTCCCCTCTCTGACCCCTGCCCACACAGAGGCTGCCTGAGCACTCACCACATTTTTGGCATTTGGCTTCATGGAGATGGTCCCATAGAGCTCTTCCCCCCTCCGGACAGTGAGGTAATCTTCCAAGTAGAAAACAGTCTGCTTCCAGTGGGTGTAGGGGGCATCAGGGGCTGAGGAGTGAAGGACGAGAGGGTAGGATGGAAGAGTCAGAGAGGATGTCTCCCAGAAGGGCTGAGGCTGGGACCCTGCCTACAAGTCTCTGGGTTTCCTCTGGGATTCTGACGGCTACACAACACTCTTGTTGGGTCAGGTGCCCAGCCCCTGTAACTAGACTCCAGGCTCCCACCAGAACTCCCCCTGAGCCCCAGTGACCCCTCCTTCTATCAGATCCCCATCCCTCAGGGCTGCGGGTCTTAGCTGTGCAGCAGAAGAGAACAAGATGATATTACAAATTCATGCCAAAGGGTGGAAGATGAATACCCTCTCACCGGCTAAACTTTGTAACACAAATGAATCTCAGAATGTTACTGTTTTCCCCCTATTAGTTCAACAGAGTGAAGACTTTCAGACAGTGTGGGCAAGAGATTTGTAGAGCAGGCCATCCTGTCTCCCCTTAAATGGCATCATTTATGCAAACTCCACAGCTAACCCAGTTTCCCTGGTTCTATTGACAGCCCAGTCCTACAAATAGCTTTCCCTGCCTGCTTCTTTGCCCTAGAACCAAAATTAGTACCCTTGGCCCAGGCCTGCCAGAAGTTTCAGCTGTGCCTTCCTAACTAGATCAAATTGAAATGAGGGATAATTCTCATTCCACAGCCCCAATGCCGGTCCACAGCTCACACCTCCTGCATGACCCAAAGCCACGCTGCTGCTTGCACTCCCAATGTATTTGGCATTAAATCCCACCCGTCCCCTCTCAGCACACTACAAATTCTATAGCTGAGTGAGAGATCTGGCCAAGAGGCCATCTTCCTCAGCAGCAACTGTCTTTGGAACACTCTTCCTTCCCTACTCACTACTCATCAGGCTCTCTCTTCCTCATCCTTCAAGGTCACTTCCTCTGTGAAGACTTGCCTGACCACCCACCTGGATTAAGGGCACCCTGAGCTCATGTTACCAGGGTGTCTGTCATGATGCAGCATTAATGCCTTCCCCCCGCATTAGTTTGTGTCCTTCACAAGACTGTGATCTCCGTGAGGGCAGGGCCAATGCCAGGCCTGTTCATTGTGAAATCCTCAGTGCTTACCACCACACTTAGTAGATCTATAAGTCCTGAAGAAATGAATGGTTTATTTGGTATGAAACCAGAGTAGATAGACTTTCCATGATGCTTGAAAGCACCCATAGATGTCCAGTTACACTGGGGCTTTAGAACCTATGGACTATAGAAGAACCCATCTTATAGTAAGTTCCTTTTGGCCATTCAGGCTCTTACCTTCCTCCACCAGGATACAGGACTCATTAATACTGATTTCCTCTTTGCTTAGGACCAGAGCTAAAGGTGAGAAGAGCTAAATGTGGGAAGAACATAATAAGTGCCTTTCAAACACTATAGAAAGCTATTCCATGGAAAGACTTATATGTGGCCTTATTGGCTTTGGAGGCAGAACAAAGGCTAGTTGGTGGGAATTACTAGAAAATAGATTTTTAAAAAATTTATTTTTAGAGAGAGAGGAAGGGGGGAAGGAGGAAGAGTGGGAGAGAAACATCAATGTGTCGTTGTCTCTCAAATGTCCCCCACTGCGGACCTGGCCCACAACCCAGGCATGTGCCCTGACTGGGAATCGAACCAGTGACCCTTTGGTTTACAGACTGGCACTCAATCCACTGCATACCAGCTGGGCCAGAAGGCAGATTTTTAATTCACCAGAAAGAATTAGAGCTGTATCACAGTCTTAAGCTCTCTGAGGGCCACTAACTTGGGATTTATCATTCACCAAGTCAGCCCAGGTGACAACTAAAATCTTTCAAGCCCTATTTTAATGGTGATGGAAGAGTTTGTCTTTCTTTGCCCTTTGCAATGAACTGGCTTGATCAAATGTCAGTGGTTTGGATAAGAGCCTTGAGTGGTCTTCAGTATGTGCCTGTGGGAAATCAGTGCAAACTCAAGGTCGTGGAGGGGGAAGAGCAGCCTGAACACTTGGAAGTGCTCAAACATGCCACCCGTGCATCTCAGAGCCTGGACCCCCAAGCATATCAAGCTGTCCTGGTCTCTAAGGCATACTGCTGTCCACAGACAAAGTCTACCTGCTCCCAGCACCTTCCCTGCCAACTACCTCTAAATAAATTGTCAAAGACAGTCTCAGTGTGGAGAAGAGCAGTATACAATATGACTGACATCACTCTCACCCCCACTTCCACCTACAGCAGCTCAGTGTCTCTCCTGTTCTTTGGGTTTGCAGGCCAGCACTCAGTCCATCGAGCCACACCAGCCAGGTCTTCTCTCCTGTTCTTAAACACTCTCAGGCAAGGGGATTCAAGCATCTTCCTTCTGGCACCTAATCACAGGCCTTATGAGAATCCCAGAGACTCCACTGGCTCAGATTTGCCAAGCCTAGGAGTCTGTCTCTGATGGTAGCGAAGAAAAAAACAATGCTGGCCTTGGGTTGAAAGAAAATGATCTCTTCCCCCAACATCACCATCAAAAGGTTAAGAACATCTCCATATGTCTCATTTCTATGATGGGTCCATTAGCTACAGACTAATTATCTAAATCAGTCTTCTCAGTCCTAAATCCTCCAGCAAGATGTTCAGAAGAAACTTACTGCAATTCAGATGTTTTCATTCTACTAGAGATTTGAATTCAGTATTTCTGGGGGGTGGGGAGGGAGCAAGTTTTCCAAGACTTAAAAATCTCCCCTAGGTGAAGCAGACAAATAGCTATGGCTGAAATCACTGCGCGAACCTAATCATTTGCATCTGATAACACCTCTTGGGTGAGCATCAGTGGAAAAAGCACTTAATTAGACAACAACAGGCCTAGTTTCCACTTCCCATCTTGCCACATATTTGCACCATGACTCCGGAGCTCCTTTTCTACACTTGCAGATCATGGGGTACTGTGAGGCCCAGATGGGATGAGAATGGGGGAAACATACAGGGGTCTGGCATAAATAACGCCCCCACTTTTTATTACAAAATCATTAGTATGTAATTTTGTAACATAACAATATCACACACTCAAGCACACCATGACATTTTAGGTGAAATGTTCAAATTAAAACTATAAATTATTACAGTCATATTATTACCCTACCAACCACACTCATGCAGGCGTTACTTCTGCCGGACCCTGTATACCAAAGTGACCAAACCTTCCATTATACCCAGGACAGGTCCAGTTCACTTCTGTTTTCCTAGCATAATTATTAATTGCTCTCCCTTTCACTCTGAGAGGTGTTTTAATCATGTGGTCACCCTATCTACAACATATTAGGCCTATGTTAGGGTGTTAACTAAGCATTAGGGGTTATTTCATCACTGTGGAGAACGATGTATCATTTTACGTATCCATACACTATGGCTCTGGTCTGCAAAGGTGTGCTGCTGGACCCTAGTGGTCTAGAATGTCCTAGGGAAGCATCCAGAAAGTTGCTGTGCACAGGGTTAGTGCTCACCACAGGGCTGTGGAGGCATCTAGAATTCTCCTCAGTGAACAGGCATTTTCTTCTCCTCTCCTGCCCTCAGCTTCCCCTATTATGAAGATACCTTCATACTCTCAATATCTGGACTCCTTTTCTCCCTCCGTGAAGTCCCTCTCCTCATAGGCTCTCTGAATTCTGGATTATGGACAGCTTGTGTTTTATATTTTGAAGGGAGAGTGACCAGTACTGCCTGCAGCATTTCAAGTGCATAGGCATTCATTCATTCATTGAACAGTCATCTATTGCAGATGCCTATCATGAGCCAGATGTGGTACTAAATTTAGGGAACAGCAACCAATAGAGCCTTACCCACCTCAGATCCTACCACCTGAGAGAGGCCTCCGGTGAGTTGTGACCACAGCAGGCCATGGAAACCAACAGCACCAGCTTCTCACAAGAATTTTCCTGGTGCTTTTGCAAAGGAAGTGGAATCCTGCTTCCTGTTTCACTTCCCAATGGCTAAATGAAATCTAATACTCTTTTGAGCTATAAATTTGTAATTATATTCCTTAGGGGGTTCACAAGCTCTTTGAAGAATTAAAGACTATGCAACAAGAAGCTTCTTTGACCTCAGAAAATGACTCTGTCACAGGATGGCAAAGCTAGAAAGTGCTGCCAGGCCATCTAGGTCCAATGGTGTCATTTCACACATCACAAGCCCAAGGTCCAAAGAGTAACTTGCTCAAGGCCACCTCCAGCACCCAATCACCCTACTTTGCTGATCCTGGAAAAACCGGGACTCAAATCCAGGCCTGCTTCTACTCAGCCTACTGACCTTCCTACCATACAGCAGCTCTAGGAATCCAGTTCCAATTTCTTCCCCACTTGCCTAGGATGTGCCACCAGAGTGGTAGGTAGGGACAGCTGGGCCTGCTGGCTGGCACAGCCTGGAACTCTGGGTGCCTTCCTGGAGTTGCAGAGAGGAGACATGAGGCCATTAACAGGGATCATTTTCAAGCTGCACAGTACTTGATGTGTGGGCCCCCCAGAGTCAGATGCTGCTGATGGAGATGGAAACATGGTTGGGGGTTGATGAAGAAGGGCCACATAAGCAAGCTACACTTTGCAAGAAGTTCAAAAGTAGCTGAGGCCAAACACTAAGACATTGTTTAGGCCTAACTAAGAGTGTGATAAAACTTTTCTAAGATAAGGGATAAGGAACACAAAATGCAGTACAGTGTTCATCTAGAGGTGATATGGAGGGAGGGCATCCAGAGTCATGGTGCAAATATGTAGGAGCAGAGCATCCAGGTGGATTGAAAGGTATTGATAGCATTTAAGTCATTGAGTTAGGTGGTGAGCTCACAGGGACTTATTATGTGACTATGAATTAATTTACTTATATTTATGAATTATAATCTTATTTACTGATAATATGTTTTGGTTAATGTTTATAGTCTAATAATTTATTTCTTAATTAATGTATTTACATTACAATAATAAATAGTCTTATTTCTAGTTACTATTTACATGCTAGTTAATATTTATTTACTTTAACAATACTTTATTCTGGTTACTGGGTTAGGTGGTAAGTTCACAGGTATTCATTATATTGATAAATAAACAAGGAAAAAGTGAACCATGTCAGACCCAATGATGATAGTAGGTCAAGAACCAAGAATTAAGATTACTCTAATTCTGTGCATCTGGGCTCCTTAAAAGCAAAAAGGATATCCTCTTTCCTTGGTGCTCAGAATGCAGAGGGTCTACGTAAAGCCCACTGTCAAACCCATGCTGACTGCCGAGGACGTCTGCTACTTGCTGAAAGCAAACCCCCATGCTGACACCTCAGGGTGGCTGAGAAAGCAGCTAAATAATGTCATTTCCCCTGATCTCTCTGTATGTAGAAATGCTGCAGCAGAAGGGATCCATGTCAGCCAGCAGGCCCACTGTTGGTGAGGCCAGGAGGCATACCATAGTCAGGAGGTAGATTTGCCTTTCCAGAAGATGTCAACACTGGTCAAATTCTCAGCCATCTTGCCCAGGCAGGCTTGCACATGAGCAGTGGTTCCCAACCTTGACCGTGTTTCACAATCACCTGCAGGACTTGCTAAGACACAAATTTCTGGGCCCCACCCCAGGATTTCTGACTCTGTAGGTCTGGGGTGGGGCTGGAGAATTTGCATTTCTAACAAGTTCCCAGGTGATGGTGATCCTGCTGGTCCATGGACCACACTTTGAGGGTTTCTGCACCACGGCACAGGAAAGAGAGGACTATAGGAACTCCAAATGTCCTTTCAGAACCTAAGTTCCTGAGATTCTGTGCACAGGGAAGGGGGTGTAATGCCATAACTGCAAAAAAGACAAAGGAGCAGCCTCAGACCTCGATCTGCCCAAGGTCTTTGAACTTATAGAACATGCTCATCATCATTTTTCTCCCAGGGGCTTGTGTGGGACTATAGTGGGGAGTAACCAGGAAGAAAGGCAGCCAGTGGTTGGAGACTTAACTCTTCAAATTCTCACCATCTCCCAGGCATCCCAGGGCTGATGTCTTTGGTGCTGAACTTGAATTTAACAAAGACTCCTCCATGGTGGGGAGATGGGTATCCGGAATGTTGTCCCTGCCACCACAGAGCCAGAGAGTCATCTCTAGACTGGGCTTGCCAGGCTTTCTGATTAGCCTCATGGACCCCAGCTGAGAGCTACAGGGCTGGAACTCAGGCTTTCAAAAGCCAGAACTTTTTTCAGAGTACCCCTGCCCACTGACTTTCACATCAACTGCATCAGGGCAGGCCTTGTGGGAGGCATCGTCCCAGAGGTCGCAGAGGCAGAAGCAGAAGCAGCCACTGGGACTCTACCCTTGGCCTTTTCCAGTCACAGCCCTGGTGCCAAGGCAGGCTCCTCGACCCTCTCACTGCTCCCACTCCTCATCATTGTGAGGCTGAGTTTTCCCCATCCTTCAGGGCCCAGGTAAAGTCTCCATGCTCCTCCTGGCTGTTCCTGCCCACCAAGAAGATGAGCTTGCAGGCTGCCCCTCTAAGAAGAGTAACAGCTGTAATGATCCAGATTAGGCATCTCTGGTTTCCCCAGGGCAGAGAGCACCAGCATTGGCCTGGGTGGTGGAGACAAGAAAACCCTGGTATTGGTGGTTGGGAGACACAGATTCTGGAAAAAACCCTTGGTGAGGGATTAGATAAGTCCCTTGCCCACTCTGTCAACAGGTAAGAGAGGATCATTGTCACCATGTCTTCCAGAAGTCAATAATCACATCCCTGAATTCTGGTAGAACCCATCTATTCCTGCCAACACACACACTCACCCCTGGTTTCATGCTCCCAGTTCTCAGGGAGACTCCACATGAATGATGAATCTGAATACACCCAAAGGGCAGAAGGCATGTCTTCACACACCATATTTAATAGGGAAGCCAGCACTAGAGAGTAATGAGATGTGATCCTGACTCATGGGGAGACCAAGGGTTGCAAAAATGAGTGGAAGTGTTGAATAAATGATGGCACATCCTACATTGAATTCTGGTATAGTTCTTCAAAAACTAAAGTAGATATCTCTGTGAGGCTATGAAGGTACTTTCAAGACATATTGTAAAATAAAGAAAAGGTAGCAGAAGGTAGTGTGTATGGTATGAGCCAACCTATGCTTTTTTAAAAAATGCTGTAGTTTTGATATTGTACTCCAGTTATGTAAGATGCTGCCAATGGGGAGAGCTGGGCACAGGGGTCACAGAACTGCATGTACTACGTTTGCAAATTCCTAGGAGTTCATAATTACTTCAAATAAAGATAATAATAAAGGTGTATATAGATTTGAAATGTTTATTTTTTTATTTATATATTTTTTAAAGATTTTATTTATTTATTTTTAGAGAGGGAAGGGAGGGAAAGGAAGGGAGAGAGAGAGAGAGAGAAACATCAATGTGCGGTTGCTGGGGTTTCTGGCCTGCAACCCAGGAATGTACCCTGGCTGGGAATCGAACCTGGGACACTTTGGTTCCCAGCCCGCGCTCAATCCACTGAGCTATGTCAGCCAGGGCTAAGGTGTATATAGATTTGGATGTGCCTGTGCACCATTGAAATTTTGGGGGAAGGATACAAAAGAAATCCTTACCAATATATGTCTCTGAGGTGTGAAATGGGGATGAATGGGGACAGGACTTTTTCCTTTGTTTTCTTTCTGCTGCTGTGTATACGAATCAGTTTAAACATCATCATGACAGACATAAGCACAGGGTGTTGGGGGACCTGGAGAAGGACACCTAAGGTTGACCCAAGAAAGAAGGAGGGGATTGAGTAATACTGACCTGAGATGTGAGGCCTGTGCTGGAGTTGCTCAGTGAGGAGGTGGGGACGGGGGAGGTGTTATGAGCTAAATTGTGTCCTCTCCAAAATTTACGTGCCAAAGCCCTAACTCCCAGTACCTCCAAATATGATTCTACATGGAGCTGGGCCTTTAAAGAGGCAATTAAGTTAAAATGAGGCCCTTAAGGTGGGCCCTAATCCAATCTGGCTAGTGTCCTTTCAGGAAGAGATCAGGACTCACACAGAGACATCAAGGGTGTGTGCACACAGAGGAAAGGCCATTTGAGGACACAGGGAGAAAGTGGCCATCTGCAAGCCAGGTAGAGAGGCCTCAGGGGGAACCAACCCTGCTGACAGCTTGAGCTTGGACTTCCAGCCTCCAGAACTGTGAGGAATACATTTCTGTTGTTTAAGCCACGTGGTCTGCAGTACTGTAATGGCAGCCCTAGCAAACTAATGCAGGAGGAAAGGAGATGATGAGAGCTTCTGACAAAGAGACCCTCTTGGTCCCAAGACACACTGGGATGGACAAGGGGTTGGCATGTGCAGAGGAGATTCCCAGAGACTTAAGAAGCCTCACTGAGTTCAGGAAATTGCTAGGTGCTGTGTGTGCAGTGGCAGCAACTGCATGAGGGTGGAAAGCAAAGCAAAGGAGGGGTGAGAAATGAGGTTGGAGGAGTGGGGTAGGTCGAGGGCTAGGTCGCCAGACCCCCACTTATCCAGCTAAGACATTTGGGCTTATCTGCTACAGGCAGCGAGTCACCTCTGAAGGAAGGCTGGGAGGGAGACATGGGTGGTCCTTGGGGAACTCTGTCAGGGACTTAATGAGGATGGATTGTGTTGGAAGTAGTAAATAAGCAGGAGACATAGAGACGCCATTTGCAGTCTACTGAGTCTGTAGTTAGGCATGGCAGTGGAGAGAGAGAAATCTCATTCCACTCTGTTTCCTTATCCCCTCATACAACATATGCTCTAGAAATGCTAAACGAACAAATGTGCGTTTGCAAAGGGGTCCAAACCCCTATCTCTCCCCACTTCATACACACTCTCAGCTCTGGCCATGCCAGCCACAATTTTATTACCTGCTCCTTGGGCAGCTACTCCGCTTACTCCACAGCTGCAGAGGGCTTAAGAGATGCCAAGTAAGGGCCCCTGGCTAATGCCCCAGTCCTTCCCAGAAGTTAGGGCCAGCCCCGGGGTCACTTTCCACAAAGCCTCAGCATGGGGGAAGGATGTGTCTGGAATGGTAACAAAAGGCTCACCTGTGGAAAACCCCATTTTCTTGTGGCACTTGGTAAATTCAATATTAAAATAGGTGACCAGGGCGTGGATGTAGTCATTGCGCTGGATTTGCAGGCAGAAGGCAGACGTGAACGACAGCTCTTCCGTCTTGACTGTGTAAATATCCACTTCCTGCCCAAAGAGGAGAGAAGGCCACACACTTAGGCACTGCTACCAGGTCTGCGTTCCGAGGGGCACTACTGACTGCAGACTCTCCAGGGTGTCATTACTCTACAGGGGACTTCCCAGGTCCAACCCACCACCCTCCCTGTGTTCCCCTTAATCCTTTCTAGGGTGCAGCAATGATGCAAACAGATATGAATCAGAACCCAGTAAGAACATTAAAAGGATAAATCTGCTGAGGGTGGGGGCTGATAGAGTAGGGGAAGGGAGAGAAAAGAAGCATTGATTAGACAGAGCATCCCTAAATCCACCAAAAATGTCCTCAGAGGGCTCTGCCTCAGCATCACTGTGTTCATCTAGTGGTTCTCATAGTATGGTCCCGGGATGACACGCATTATCAGCATCACCTGCGAGCAGATTCTGACCAGGTGGGGTGGGGTGGGGTGGGGAAGGGAGGGGAAGGGAGGGCATCCCAGCCCTACTGAATCACAACAGCAATCAGTGCTTTATCAAGTCTTTCTTGTGATGCCAATGAACCAGGTTACTCATTCTCATTTCCCAGTTTTTGGATACTTAAGTGCCTGACAATAAGAGGCATCAAGTATTGTCACAGGAGTGAGGATCTGATCCCACCCAAAGTCACAGACTGAACTGAAGGAAGTTCTGCTGGCCATTTATAACAAGCCTGGATGGAGGAGGAGGGAGAGGGAGGGAGGGAGGGAGGGAGAGAAAGAGAGAGAGGGGAAAGAAGAGAGGAAAGAAGAGAGGGAAGGAAAGGAAGCAGTAAAAGATGAAAATTTTTCAGTTCTGTCTGGAGAATGGAGAACATGAAGAACTAATAATTCTAATAATTTTAGTTGGGAAGTGGCTGAAAATCAATCGTGTGTGGAGAATAAGTAAAACAAAAGATAGTTTGCAATGTGCTGTTCTTTTCTATGTGAAGAGTGCTGAACTGCTGTTTGCTGGCTCCAGTGAGACAGGGCAAACCTTCCAAGAGCCCAAGAGGCATCCAAGTAGCTTTCAGTGAGGTCTAAGGAAGGACTTCCCACTGTTGGGGGTGTGTAGCAAGTATCTCTATCCCTAAGACTGCAAGAGCCAGACACCTGTGTGCCTGGAATATTCCCCAGGAGCTCCTCTGAAACCTGGGTGATGGAACATATTGGGAATAATTAGGAAAGGGCTCTGAGGCTAGAAAACAAGAGCAGGGAAAAGACAAAGTGACATACAGAAATGGTCCTTATCTCTACATATTTCTAAGATTAAAAAAATCAAAAAGCAGATGTGAAGCATCTGGGGGCCTTCAAGGAGAAGCCTTGCATTCATAGGACAGAAGAGGAGGTGTGGCAAAGGGAGCCAGCAGACCAGAGCCCTGTGGTGGTCTCAGGTGAGCAGCCTTGACATGCTGGGGGAGCTGAAGCTTGACTTGTTAGTTGGGACGAGGTGGGACTGCAGGTTTAGGGGAATGTGGGAACTTATCCAAGAGGTTAGATATGGGAAACAAGAACTAAAGGAATGGTGAGCCTTGGGTCGAGTGCAGAACTAGAAAGCCAGTCCCCTGTACCCAATGCAAGAGCCCTCTCAGTAGCATTCCCAGCAAGTGACCGTCTGGTGCTTGCTTGAACACCTTCAGGCTGATGCATTCACTACCTACCAGGCAGCTGACTCCACTTCCTGGCACCTCCAATTGGAAGGTCCCTCTACGTAATGAATGAGAGCCCACACCAATCTCTGTAACTTCCACCCACAGAATAGGATGGATGCTTATCAGCCTTCATGATGTTCATTATGCCTCCCGGGTACATGTTGTCCAGAGATTTCCTCCAGGTCAACAGCCCTTAGAGCAAGCTGTGGCCAACTGTATTTTTATTAACAACATCAGATGGTCCACCAGGCTCACAGTGTCTACACTCACTGACTTTTCCATCTCCTTCATAGTCAGGGCCAGCTAGCCAGGCTCCAGGCTCTTTCTGAGGGCCATGGTATTTTCTATCTTGGTCCCCTCCAGCAGCAGCCCAGGCTGGTCTTTCCACCCTACTTCTGGCTCATCTCAGCAGCCTCACCATCTTTGCTTTGCCTCTGCTATTGGACTGGAGCTCTGTAGGGGCAGAGGGTGCACCTTAGCAGTCTATGTACCCTTGCTGTGTGACACAGCACCTGACACACACCACCCAACTAGGAGGAATTCTATCTCTGTAGGGTCTTGCTCTCAGCCATCCATCAACCAAATGTCAGCTGTCAATTGTGTTAGCTGACAGTGTTCACTAGGTTCTGCAGACATTTGCATCTTAATGGGGGCTGATGAAAGAACAAAAGCCTTCTAGACAGAAGTAATGGAGCTATACATTCAAATGGTGACCATGGGGGCAGTGGGTCTGTTGGAGTGGAAGCTGGGTGGTCTGTGAGGGTGGGGTCAGCTGTGGCTGGGCTCAGCTCCATACTCCCAACAGACCCAAGTCTACAGAGTCAAACCCAGTTATCCTGCCTGTCCAGAACCCAGACCCCTTTGCAGGAAGGTTCCTTTCTTTTCACAGCAGCAACAGCATCTCTGTGACCCCTCAGAGAGTCTGTGACTTGGCCTCAGGTGACCCCTATGAAGTGGAGGGCTCCACAGGCATCAATGACTCAGAAGAGCCCCTGGTCACTGCTATCCCCACCACTAAATAATGTTACAAATGGGTGTCTCAGAGCAGAAGTGTGGTCAAAACAGAGTCTTAATTATAATAGAGTGTCACACTCTGCAATGTTAATAGCATGAAAATAGCAATTAAGTGTGTGAAGAAGGGCAAGTGTTTTCCCAATAGTCTTGGCAAGATGTTGCTTAGCATATTAGCAAGAGAGCTGACAAAGGGGTGCGCTCCTGGTGGAGGAAGCAAGTGGAGACAGTCTTTAGCCTTCTCTGAGGACGGAGGCAGAGCAGGTATGGGGAGAGGCAGGACTGCGGCCCAGAGCTCCAGACTCTTTGCTGCCCCTTCGCTGAGCCTGGCTGATTTCTGGGGCTGCACTCAGGTGCTACCAAACGGGAGTCCCTTGCTGGTTCCTGCCTGGGACAGGGCAGAGGAAGAGGCCTAGTGTGACCCGGGTAGGTGGAAGCAGACCAGTTGATGGTGTGACCAGCAGGTGTACAGATGTGCAATGTCACACCTGCTGATCAGGGGCAGAAAGTCACCTGGGGCCCAAGCACACTAAAGGAATTTTATCATACAGCTGCCTAATGGTCAAACAGAACCGCCACGTGTCATTTTGGCCAATGTAGTAGCACAGTCTATTTCCATCTGTTCCATAATATTTACAGAAATGTTTTGTGCTGTGGTGAGCATGTTTGAGGGTGTACTTTCCTGGTTCTTGTTTAGATCATACAAAGGGAGGGGCTTCAGGGACAGAGGGGCTGGTGGAAAGAAATTAAAAGACACATGTTCTCACAACCAATCCTGCCTGGACCTGGAATGGGACATGTTATGAAGTAGTAAGAACCCTGTCAGTGGAGAATACGAGGCTTAGACTCGAAACCAAACCTCTCAGATAGGACTCTATGAGAGGGAGGCAGCTTCTGATGAGACCTGTGTGAGGCACATCTTGTTCGTTTGCTCTTGGAGTTGGCTTCTAAATGGTGCCTGCCGTGACACTATGAACCCAGGACTGTGGTTCTGAGGAAGACCATGTCTGGAGACATGAGCCAGTTCTCATTGGGCAAGTCAGCAGTTTGCATTAGTCCTTCAGAAACGTCCCTGCCTCCCCATTGGCCCCAAGCCCCTGCCCCTCATCCTCTGTAAATGCCCCAGTGCTCCACCCCAGCGTTTCCAGCAAAGATGTGCTACATACAGGACCAGAGCAGGCAAGTGTGCTTTAGCAAGGTGAAGGCTGGGTGGGCTGATGAACACTTACATAAATGAATCCAGATTTTTTAATTAAAAAATCAGCTTGAACCATAAGAAATTAGTGTTTTCCTAGATTTTTTAAGACAATCACATATAAGTAGTTTATATGATTCAACATTATACACACACACACACATACATCTGTATGCAAAAACTTAGCAAAAGAACTGGAAAGCTCAATCTAACCTGTGAACAGTGGTTCCCTCTAGGAGAAACATGCATTTGAAAGGGGGTGGGGAGGTCAAGGGGAGTTTTGAGTTTTAATCTATCAAGTTTGGCTGGCTTGACTATTTAATAATAATGAGGACACACTAGGCATTGGTATGATGAAGATGCTCACCAGGTGGTCTACATCTGCACTGAAGAAAGCCTTGGAAGACAAGATGTTAAAGAATGTGCAAACTGGAACACCTAGGATGGTCTCATGTGGGCTAGGACGTGGGAGTGTACTGAGGATCACATAGCAGATGGTACTATCCAATTTCTTTCATAAGAAGGCCACACACCTCTAAATGGAGTAGCTTCCCCAAACCTGAGCAGACCCTTATACCTCCAAGGCATCCTTTCCTCTATTGCTCCCTCCCACACTCCATGCCAGCACCCAACATCACCAAAGGATGCATGTGGCTCCCTCCCCTCAGCTGTGTCACCATGGAGTCCAGTCACTCCCTGTGTAGTTTTTTGACTGGTCACCTTGTGATGCCAGAGGCTCTGGCCAAGGCGGCCCTGCCTCATCAGGCTGGGGCCGTGCAGGAGCCGACAATGCCCTTATTCCATGTCCCCTGCTCTCCAGGGTGGCACAGCTGGGCTCCCAGCATTCCCAGGCCCAAGCAAGATGAGTCTGCAGACCTTTATTAAACAGGCATTGGTCACCACTTGCTTTGGGTCCACAATGTCCACCAGGGGCTCCTTCATGGCAACGTCCCGGATGCAAGTCATGTCAAAGCCGTAGACATTTTCCCACCCTGAGGAAACAGAGCAAGACATGAAGGCCAGCAGCAGGACCCCAGAGATCTCCCAGACCCTCCTGAGTACTAGAGTGCAGCATACCCAAGAGGGTAAGGAACAGCCCATGTTACCCTGCATCAGAATAGAACAATGGCTCATTTGGGTGGAGAGCTTTGCAGTATGCCAAATGCTCATTCACACTATCTCATGTGTATAGGTCTGTCTTTATGGTTAGGAAAACTGAAGCTCAGAGAGGCTGAGAAACTTCTCTAAGGTCACACGACTAGAATGCTACAGGCCCAATACTAGAACCCAAATTACCTGACATTTCCTGTACCTACTTTCCTGTCTCTCTCTCTGAGCTAGCAGTCTTCTATGAAGTCTCTTACACAATGTCAGTGCCTCTGCTCAAGCCCAGAAGGCCGATCCCTCTTCCCTCTCCTGTCCCCACCCAATGAACCTTTAATGCAGCACAGAGGAACTCGGGCTTTTAAAGTAGAAGAGGCTATAGTCTGAATCTCAGCACCACCACTTACTGGCCAAGCCCTTGTGCAAATTCCCTAACCCCTCTGAACTTCAATTTTCTCAACTGCAAAATGCAGGGTGTGTCCATGAGCACTTTTACCTTTCTCACATGCTATGCTGCACTCACTAAGGAGCTGTCCCATAAGAAATATCCCCCAGGTGGGACACAAGCCATCCCAGTGATGCTCATTGGCCCTTTGGGGCAGCTCATGAGATGCTTTGAAACAGAAAGAATTAGGGTGCAGGACTGGTGAGTAAATGAATGCAAGACCAATGGCCCAAGAGCACCCTTAAATGATAATGATCATTGCCATCACTGAGTGACTGCCAAGCCCAGGCCAATCTCTTCACTTCAGCTACCCGGAAATTCCATGAAGAGCTAGAGCTGGGAGGAGTTGGCACCTGGCTCCCACGCACTGCTGGGCCCAGTGTCACACAAAAGGGAAATGGTGGTGCTAGGGCTCAAACCCAGCTTGTCCCCAGAGCCAATGTGGCAGCACCAGGAATACAATGCCCTCTCTGCACAATGCAGAGGGGGGCCTGAGCAGAGGCATTAGTTACTAGGCATTTGACTCTCATTTGTCTGTTTACTTGAACGGGCTTAGAAATGCATTGAAGTAGAGATGTTTTTCTCTAAAATCTGTGGGATTAAATTTCCTTTTAAAATGTTCATCACATACATGGTATCTGAGGGAACTATGTCCCTGTATGCTTGGGGGAGAGGGTGTACGAGGAGGGAACAAAGGACGGCCAGTGAAAGCTGTTCCTTTGACTCACACTCTTTTCTAAGGCACACAAAGACCTTCCTCAGGGAGAAGAAGGAGGGAAAATAATCATCTCCCAGAGGGCAAGCACTCGTGAAATTTTGGCTGAGCATACAGTACCACTCATGTCCCATTAAATCTCCCAAGGCTGGTGCCAAATTCCCAATCAAAACCTACATTTGGAGGAGGGAGCTTCTCAGTGGGCAACAGGACTGCATTGGAGAAGACACTCCTAGAATCTGGCCGGTCCTGAAGTAGCTATTCACCCTCTCCCCTATGACACACTCACACTGAGACACACTGCCTTTGTTTATGACCCTTCCTTAAGAGGCCGGCAGCCACGCTCCTGCTTTGTCTCTTGGCCGAAGCACAAACTGAGGGTTAGTGCAAGTGTTGGGCAAATACCTGAGAGTCTGTGTGCATAATAGTTAATAAAGCCCTGGGCTTTGGAGTTCAAATCTGGGTTCTGCCACTTATTTGCTACATCACCTTCACAAGAATTTAACCTCCCAAAGAGTTGCTTTCTCCTTCTTTAAAATGAAGATGATGATAATTACAGTTGTTAACGAAGATTGAACGTGATAATAAACACAAAGTGTGTGAGGCAGTGTCTGGCACGTAGAAAGCAGTTGACAGACAGTGGTTGTTTTCATGATGCCATTTGAGCTTTGGCTTTGCCACTACCCAAGCTGTGTGACCATGGGCAGATGAACCCTTTCTCAGGGCTTGTTTGTGACGTGAGGAGCTTGGTTCAGTAGTTCTGTGTTCCAGAATCACCTGGGACACTTGTAAAAATACAGATGCCTGGGCCCCAACCAGGCCTACTGACTCAGGATCTCCAGACTTGGGACCCCAAAATTTGGAATTTTACAAATCTACATAGGCAATTCTGACCAAACTGTGGAAAGCTTTGTGTCAAATAATCCTTAAAGTCCCTTCCAGTCCTGCAGTGGTGAGCCTAAAGTTGCAGGCATCTGTGAGGCCTTCTGCAGCCACTCCCAGCCATGGGACCACTCCTGTATCCTCAGCACCTGCTGCACAGCTTCTGGCACTACACAGGCCCACAGATGCTCAGATGTAGCTTTTTAATTGAAATTCATTCCCAAATATTTAATGTTTATACTGCTTCACAATACCCGATGTTTAGTTTCTTTTTCAGGGATTAGTTCATGTCTTATGTCCCCAACCACACTACCCTACCTTCAGTTATTCAGGAGACAGATCACCCGGGACATTAGAACTTTTCCTCTCCTTCCTGCTGACCATTCATTTCCCATTAGCAGTTCCCATTGAACATGAGCGGAGCAGGGATGGAAGACAACACAAATCAAGCAGATTAATTTTTGTTGCAATTCTGTCTTGTCTATTGAATGAGTGAATGTGAAGTAAAGGACATTGGCTACCAGGAAATATTGTTATTAATTTTCTGTTGATTTAAAAAATAACATCAGAAGGATCTATGATACTTTTGTTTAAGGACTAAAATAAACTATTTAAAAGAACTGCACCATGGTGCAATGAGTGCAACTAAAGCAAAAACAAAGTGCAGACCTTCCAAAACTATCCACTACACTGACCACTTTAACTGCCTGGTAGAGGAAGAGATGTGTTCTTTTCTTGAAATACATATGATTCCTCTATCTCTACTATTTTTACTGGCAATTTGTGGCATTAATTTAAAAATTACAAGACACATGAAAAAGAAAAATAATGACCCATTACCAAAAGAAAAAAATAGTCAATAAAATCAGACTCAGAGGTAGCTCAGATGTTGGAATTATTCAACAGAGACTTGAAAGTACTTATACTAAATACGTTTAAAAATCTAATGGAAAAACATACACAAAAGTTACAGAATTTCATTGGGAAGTGGAAACTTTATAAAAAGGGCCAATGGAAATGCTAGAAATGACATAGTACCAGAGACAAAGAATTCTTGCAATGAGCTAATTAGCAGAATGGACACATCTATCAGGGGAAATAATGAATAAACTTGAGAACAGGTCAATAAAAATTATCTAAACTTAAACAGAGGAAAATGAACAAAACAATAGAGCATCCAAGATCAATGGGACAATCAAACAATTTCTAACATATATGTAATTGGAGTCCCTGAGGAAGAGAAAGACAATCAGGCAGAAATAAAATATTTGTAGAGATAATAACTGAAATTTTTCCTGAACTAATGAAGTCATCAGCCCATTGGATCCCAGAATTCCACAGAACCCAAAGTGGGATGGAAACAAAGAAAAACACACCTAAACACATTGGAGTCCAACTGATGAATATCAGTTGATGAGTGCTTTTGATGAAAATCTCAAAAGCAGCCGGAGGAAAAGAAATATGAAGTAGTGGAAAACAAACTTTACTTTTCATTGGCAAGAGCTGTAGCTACATCCTCTCTCCCCACCCTGGCCCCAGCAACTGGAGTTCTTCTGCCAGGGCTAATGGGACCGCCTTTGAGAAGAACAAAGCAAGTGCCGCCAGGCGCCACTTTCAGTTTCTCCTCTAGAGAGAAGAAAAGGTGTTTACAATAGTTTTACGTATTTTAGAGTCTCAGGAACTCAGCCAACTCCATGTATTAATTAGCCCAGAGCCAGAGACTAGAGCTCCGGAGTTTGGGGGTGAAAGTGGAGGAGAAACGATGGACAGCAACTCAGCCCTGCAGGAAGCACTGCCTCCACCCTCCAGCTGCAGGCACCACTGGCTCAACAGGCCTTCCTGTGCATTTTCCCATAAGCCAGGAAGCTGTGTCCATCCCTCCAACACTCAGCATTTTGTAGATTGATGGATTGGGTGAGATTCATATATTGGGTAAAGAATCAAACAGAATACTCACCAAGTTTCTTCCCAGTTTTGAGATTATATAACTCTCCTCCATAGTAGAAATTTTAAAGAAATGATTGCCCTCTCTCAGGTTTAGACAGTACACCTTGCATATTCATTTGCTGGCTTACTTTTATTCCTTCATTTGTTTACTCATTCACTCACTCAACCAAATATGTATTGCAAGCCTAGTACATGCCAGTCATTTGTCTCACTTTTTATGTATTCTCTAGTATTTGGTGAGCAAACTGAGGGCAGATTCTGTATTTCTCTCATTCTTGTGTTCCCATGTTGAATGTGGTTGAGAAAGGAAAGGAGAGGAAGGGTGAGGAGAGAAGAGGAGAGGAAAGGAGGCTGTTTTCCTAACAGTTTATTTTCTGAAAGGGACTAGGCATGTCTCACTCTCCTGCCCCACTTCAAGATTTTTCTCTTTTAGCTGGTTCTTCAGCCAACTGAAATTTGCTTACTATTGTTCCCTTAGCAACCAGAAACCTTTATGCTTACTTTTGATTTCAAACTCAGAGTAACCAAAATCTTCATTTATTTGAAACAGATTTCTAAATGGTTTTGCTTCCTTTTGTACAAACAAAAACAGATAATTTATAAAACACATTCCAATAGAAAAACTTAACAGTATTTTAAATAAACTTTAAATGGGTGTTTAATTTCTGATTCTGTTTGTTTTTTGACAGATACTCCAGAGCAAGCATTTCATAAGAAAAAAAAATTGGGCTCTTTTTCCATTTTTTGCTTCCTAAGACCTATGAAAATTGCAATAAGCAATGCAAGGCTGAATCACATGATCTCCAGTTCTGGGCTGGCACCTGGGTATCAGTACTGCCCCTAGTAGCTCTCAGAGCCTGCCCAGTCCTCTTCTGGCCCCAGTGGGCTCATCGCCAGGTGCACCTGCCAGAGGTTCCCAAACACAACCCAGGGAAGAGAGGAGGAAAAGATATCTTTGCTTCTAAGCCATGAGGAAGTTCCTTAAGGAGCTGTGCCCAGGGATGGAGTTCAATAAATATTTAAGTGCACATGAGAATGAAGAATGCACCTAAAGTTTCTCTTCAAAACACTATTTGGTACAGTTACACAGCAAGAACTCCAAAAGCAGCATTATAATGCAGGTCCAGGGCAAACTGCATCCTCTGTAGACATACATTTCATCAATGTTCACTGTTGAGTTGTTCCTGCAATCTACTGTGAGATCACATCTGTCCCAGAGTGTGAGCCACTGGAGGCCAGAAAGCATAGCAGTCAGGCTCCCTTGCCTGAGCCAGGAGCAGAAAGGAGCTTAGTGACTGACACAGTCAGAGATTAGACCAGTCTGGTGCCCTGCAGTACCAAGAACTGTTGTGTCCTCACTAATCCTCATGAAAGGGCTATAGGATTAGTGATATTATCTCTAACTAAGGCTCAAGGATATTAGGTAATTTGCTCAAAGTGACTCAGGTAGAACTTGAACCCAAGGCTGACAGATTTCAAAGCATGGTCATCTAATTGAGTCATCTTACTTCTCAATCCTCATCAAAGATTAGAAATGATGCCAGGGTGGCTGGAGGCAGAGGGCACAGAGCCTCAAACAACTGTCCCATTTCTGTCTTCTGATCCACCCTTTGATGTTATACTTCCAGAAGGGTGTGAACACACACAAACTCACACATTCCATAGCAGAGTCCACCTGAGGTCTTGTCAGTGGCACTAACAACTGTTCGATGGAAATTCTGTGAATCAACTTGCCATACTACTGAGTCTCAGTCTCTCAGGGTAGGAGGCATTTCCTCATCTGCTTGGACCGGGGCCCCTCCACAGTCACCTTGCAAAGAGGGATGAACCATTGGAGGGGCAGGAGCCCCAGATCTGCTGAGTTGATGGGACTTTGGGAGTTTCTGCCTCTCACTTTGGGCTAAACAGTGTATGTGATACTTATGTGAGGAGGGGTTCTTTGCTCCTTTGTCAAGTCTATTTCTGGTTGGGGACACATGGCCATTTCTGGCCTTATAAAAGGAAAGTTCTGCAATAATCTCATTCAGGACCAGGATTGTGTCACTGAGAAATGTTATCCTTTAAATTAAATAGAACAAAGGAATCCTTTTTGAACCAGGTAAAACAATGAAGATATTTTCTGGCTTTTTTCTCCTAAGAGAACAAGTTTTCATCTGATAAAGCACTATGAATACAGGTTTGGATATGAGTCTCCCTCACCGCGCACACACACATGCACATGCATGCACGCATGCACGTGCCACCTCTGTGTCTTCCCACCCCCACTGCTTCCCCCAAAGAACCTCAGAGAAGAATACACATTTTACTTAGTGTGAAGGAGAACCAATATCATTTTGATAAGCTTGAGTAGTATGAAGCTAGGAGTCAGAATGATTGGCCTGGCTAAAGACCTGTCACTTCTGACCCCTGTGGTAGACTTTTGGGATAATTAAACCTGCTGACTTCCAGCCACCTGACCTGCTATTCTTTGCAAAAGTTCAGCTTCTGTGGCTTCAACTTATTTTTCATTCACATTGCATTTATTCTCTCACCTCAGGACATTTATCTTATACCAGCTGTATTGCTTATTTTCTCTCTATAGACCTCCCACCCATGGAACTAGAGGAAACCATTTACAGAGAGAATGACCCAGGAAGAGTCAGGGGGACTCCACAGACACCACAGTGTGTTTATAGACTAGCAGCTCATCTCAGGCCCACTGAAATGCCTCCCACCCTAAATGGGCAAAAATAAATAAATAAATAAATAAATCACGGCCCAGTGGAGAACGAAAAGGTGACTTACAGTGGATTTTGAAGTCCTTGTACTGTCTGTCTTCAATTGCTACCACGTACAATGCTGCCCGGTCTGGAAACATAAGCCCTCCAGGTTTCTGTTGATGAATTGTGGGGAAATGGGTCTTGTAATCTATTCACCTGACAAAGACATCACATTTTGAACTGCACATAGAGTCACCAGACAGGCATCCCCTTGCCAACATCTCATTCAGCAGCTGTCACCTTGGCCAGAGTTAGGGCTCAGATGGCAATGCTCACTTTTTATTTTGGAGCAAGGAGAATTTGAGGGACCCAGGTGGAATCAACAGAGCCAATCAAGTGGCAGGGGTATGGAGGGGCAAGGATAAGTCCATTGTGGAACAGTGGAAGATGATATGACCTCTCAGCCTGGAGAAGCCAAGGTCAGAAGCACTCTTGGCTCTTTGGCAGCCATGCAACCCTAAGTATTTGTTGACCAGAATAACCTTTTGTCTTGAAAATACAGAATGCGTTTCTATTACGCAAAAGAAGCCAAGATTAGACCTACAGAAGAATATTGTGACAGTTGGATGCGTTGGACCCAGGGACAATCATTCTGTTCCATGAAGCAGATCTGGTTTAAAGAGGAGGAACTGGAAGAGGTGACCTTCTAGCCCAAGACCTATTCTTCCTAGGCTGCAGGGCAAGGGTATAGCAGCAAGACAGCCAGAGACCAACAGGGCAGAGCATGCAGGACACTTACCAGCCACTTGTCTCTGGCAAAGATGACTGTGTTGAGCATTGACTCATAGAAGAGACAATAGCCCATCCACTCGCTGATGATAATGTCCACCTTCTCCACAGGCAGCTCCACCTCTTCCACTTTACCCTTAAATATGGTGATGACTGGAAAATAAGAACGCCAAGGCCACACTTGGCAAAGCCAAATCTACAGGTTTTAGGCCGGTTCTGATTCTGCTTTCAGGATGGGACACACCTCACCCTTCACCATGTAGTTTATGAGAGAATTGAAAGCTAGTTGCATGTTTTGTCCCTAAAATGCATTGAGCAGTTACTATGTGCTGGGTTGTGCTAAACTCACAACATACACCATAATATGTAATCCTCCCCAAAACTCTATGATATAAACACTTTATTCTTATTATTTAGCACTAAGGAAACTGAGGCTTAGAGAGGTTACATGGTGGCTGAGAAATAGAACCCAGGTCTGATATGCCATGACTCTAATGCTCTTCTCATGGACCCCACCCTATGTTAGGCTCCTGTGACAATTCAAACCCGAAGAAGGCTGGGGAAACTCCTCTATTGCTCTTGCACCTGTTCAAAGCCAGGGCTCATCCCCCAGTGGATTCATGAGGGAGGCAACTTAGTGTTTTGACAAGAGCATGGGCTCCGAGTCAGAAAAACCTGGATTTAAGTGCTGGATAGTCTCATTATTAGCTGTATTACTTTCCACAAGTTACTTGACTAAACCAAACTCCAATTCCATACAGAACAACTCAGGAAAGTGACATCTACTTAGCAGGTGGTTGAACTGATGAAATGAAGTAACACATGTGAAGTACCAGGCTCAGGGCATAGACTCTATTTGGCATCTCCCACTTGTCAACCAGCCCGTAGAGAGGTGAAGGGGACAGGGCCAGGACCAAGCCCCTGCTCTAAATGGCTTCTGCTGAGTCATTTCCAAGACCCCCTGGTCCTTCTACAGCAGGAAAACTTCTTAGCTGGGTTTCTGATGGTTTGACATACACGTACACCTAATTTTGGAGTCTCTCTGTGTATTCATTGTTGTAAAGATCAGAGAAAACTCTCTCTTGGATGCCACTGTGAAATTGACAGGGTGATGGATTGGTTGGCTGGTTCCATCTGAACATTTCCTCTGAAAGATTACACATACTCATGCTCTGAAACTCTCTTTCTGTGTCATCTTTTGAAAAATTACACAATGCCTGAACTTTGCTGAGAAAATTGAACAATGGCCTGACTCAGGAGTTTAAAAAAAACAACCAAAACCAAAACTTACATCTGTTCTGAATCTGAGTTTCACTAAAATGAATTTGAATTGGAGGCTTCTAGATGGCAAAGGGCACACAGGTCACTGGCTTTATTTCCTGTCTTCACAGTGGGTAATGCAGGTGATGGAGTGCCCATTAGCAGTTTCTGGTGATGGTCTGCTCTCCAATATCTGGTATTTAATTAAGGCTTAAAAGATAAGGCCTCCTCTAAAAGGAGTCAGACACATGGCAGCTGTACATTGCCTTGATTGCTCTAGACTGAGGCCCAGGCTCATGTGACCCTCTGGGTTACTGCTCAGAAGCCCTACCTCAGGAAGGGCCAGTCATCTCTAAAAGGTTAGAAGTGGGTGGGAGCAATAAGTATTCAAGTTCTGCTACTCTGGGGGTTCTGAGACCCAAGGGCAGGAACTCAACCTACAGGAAGCACCAAGGTAATTCACAAGAGGACAAAGTAAAGGATTTTTGAAAATACAGATTGCCTAATTAATTTCTTATTCTGAAAAATAACAGACAAATATGCCTGATCCGCCTGTTCAGTCATTTGCATGTAAAGCCTGGTTCATCTTATTTTTGTAAACATTTTTAAAGTGTTTTGATGGCCTGCACTTTTCTCTGTGCACATTTCTTGAAGGCTCTCCCCTAGTGTCTGTGGGGCACAAACATTCAAAGATTACTACTGAGTGAATGAACAGATGCATTAGACCATGGCCTTTCTGTGGCCCAGGAAGATATCTTCTCCTGCCTGTGGTGCCCCATGACCTTCACCCTGGGTCCTTGTACAAGGTTGACCATGATGATTCCATAGACTGGACTCCAGTAAGATTGCAAGAAGCAGAAATTGATAAGAACTTAGAGTTTACTCTGACAGATAAGTATGTATGGAACATAACTTGGGTGCATGAGTGCATGAGTGCTACCTCTGTTCTCTGCACTAGCCCTCTTATTCATTTGCTGCTATAAATATAAACATACAGGGAAACAGAGATACAGTAGGTCACAGAAGAGCAAAAATCACGCTGTTTCTGCTTACAAAAAGGCAGAAGGAATCAATTAACCCTATAAAATGCTCAACAATCTGTGCCTCTGTTCATTTAACATCACTCTTCTGTAACCAAACGTTTCTCAGAGCAGACATGGCCCCCACTTGGCTTGGTGAGTAGATGGTCCCTTTGTGAAAGAGACACACCTCCCTTCAGTGCAGCTGTGGACTGGATTTCATGCCCCATCCATCCCCACACCCAGTTGCTTTTGTGCAGTGCCCAACCTGCACAACCTTATGCTGGGGTCCTGGTGGCAGACAATTTACGCCCTTGTTCCAGCTAGCCTTGGTTAAATAGTTTCTCTCCTTTGGGGCCTCAGTTTCCTCACTGGAAGAAAAAAAAAAGAAGGGAGGTTGAATCTGAAAATCGTGAAGATCCTTTGCAGTTCTTCCAAATTCTTTCATTTTTCAAATATGTATCGAGCATGTATAACATATAGTATTCTGCATGTTTAGGGACTAACAGACATCAATAAAGAAACTGCCTGCAATGCCCAATTCGACTCAAATTTGTACCAATTTCTCAAGTCCAATTTTTTTAAAAGAGGCCATATTGTCATTGTGGACCCAAATACAGTTACCCCGCTGTGTCATCAGGAGTAGTCTTTCTGTTTTCTGTAGTCTCTGCCAGTAACAACTTGAACTACGAGATTGTTTCCCAGTTTGCAAAATGCTACCACTTGTGGTGGGGTTTGTGGCAATTAATTAGGAGTTATTGGCCAGTGTATGGCACTGGGTTGACTCAAAACACTGTGTGGGAGGGTGTCTCTGCTCCATGAAGCCCCTTCAAAGGCATCTTAGCTACTGATCTTAAGTTTCTAAGCAGTAATGGGATGTGAGCTCACTCCTAATCTGGACCCCACATGACAAATACTGTGTCAGCTCAAGGTCGTACTGAGGTCACTCTCTAGTGCTGTTATTATTCCGTAACGTTTTATTCCATATGGATGATGGAAAGTTTGATCAACTAGCTATGATAGGACCCTGGCTTATAAATTTTAGAGTAATTAATCATAATTAAATATACCACAGGAAGCAATAGACTCCAGATTGAGATTTCCCCTCTAACTTTAAGTTTACAAATTAGACATTCTGATTTTGGGGGGTTGTTTTTAGTGGGATTATTTTTTCCTTCTGGCTTGAGTGGTTATTACATAAATTTAGTCATTCTAATTCATGGTCATTTGTTTAACAGTCTAGATATTTTTGTTTTGTTTTGTGGATTTTGTTGTTGTTTTTACAAATCAGGGGTGATCTCATTTGGGCCTCCAGCATGTTCAGCAGAGTCAGCGGGGCCCACAGGTCTATGGTAGTGGTCTCCCCATTGTAGACCCCTCGCTGTTTCCCAGAGCGGAACCTGTCCCACAGGAGAGGGAGGGGCGTGAGCATGAGGCCAGGGAGCACGCTATGAGATGGTGGAGCCTCTCCAATGTCATTCCCCCACTTAGCACAGCCACATACTGCCCTCTGCTCCCCTGCCACGCTGCTTACACACCCATGATGGTGACAATCACACCACCTGCTGCACACCTTTTGAGGGCCTGATTTACCTCTAGCCTATGATCTCCTCTTAATTGTCTATTTTATCTTCCTATTTCCAGGATCCAGCAGAGCACCTGACTTCTTGTGAACATTCAAAGATTGTTACTGAATAAATGATGGATGAATAAGCAATTTTAGTAAAAAAAAAAAAGGGTATTGGATTGAGAGATAAATGGTTTTTAAACTAGTTCTAATTATGATAGTAAAGAATTACTGGCAGTTAAATCGCAGCTTACAGAGTGATTTCACATATATTGTCTCAACAATCCTCACAGGAAACTGTGAGATTGGTCTCATTGTTCCATTTGCCTAATGAGAGAACTGGAGTTTACAGAAGTCATAAGGTAGAGCCAAACCTAGGCCTGTTAATGTACAAGTTACCAACCTCCCTGAGAGTCCTTTCTTTCAACTGCAAATGATCAGAATATCCGACTCACCCACTCGTGGGACTGTTGTGCACACCAAGCAAGTGCTGGGGATGGTGGGAGGAAAGAAATCAGAGAGGCCAAGGACAACCCATCTTTTCCCTGAAGGCTGGAAGGGTTGGCTGGTAGGGTGAGGAGAGGTAAAATCATTGTAGAGGTAGAACCCATCAGCCCCACTGCGGCTTCCCACCCTTGTCTTCTCCAAGGTCCAGATACTTGGATAAACCTCTTACAAGGTCAGACTCCATCCTATTCTTAAGCTAGTGGTGATGGGAGAAAGAGAATACCAACATCATTATGCTCAATATCTGCTGGCACTTGTAACATACCCTGCAGCCAACAGACCCCATAACTGGAGTGGCATAAGTGAGCTCTGGGTGCTAGGTATACTCAATATTATAGAAACTTAAATACCATTCCCCTCTCTCTTCCCAAATCCTCTACTCACCCACAAATATAGGGCTTGAGGTTCTGCCTTGTCCTCAGTGCATAATCTGCCTGGCTTCATGCCCTAGCCTGCTCTGGCTCCCTTGAGGGCCAAGGGTCCCATCTGCTTAGCTGGAGCTCTTCGGCTTTGGCCAGAGCCCTTCCCTGGTCAGAGCTCCTGCTTGGCATGTCTCCTCCATTAGACACTGGCTGGACTAACACTCTGGTAATGAAACCGTGCCTGGACTGGTCCCCACCCCAAGGTGTCACTCATCACTTAGAACCCCTAGCACAGGGCACCTGGGGCAGATGATTCTGTGGGCTGGGCCAAAAGGGAGGGAATTAAGAAGGGGGTGGTAGTAGACAGAGTGGGTGAAATCAGTGGGAATGTGGAAGGTAAAAAAGCTCCCCTAGGCTCAGGGATTCAGAAAAGCATGC